TAGTCCAGGGATCCCCAACGCGGTGTTTGTGGGACCCATGGCAGCCTCTGATACCTTTTCTGGCACCCAAGGGTTTTGGGCAAGTGGGTGGGGCCAGACAGGGCTTTTGCCCAGCGTGGCATCTGATTGACTAATGGAGATTTGATTGGCTGTGCAGATTTTTTTAAAAAAAATATCACTTTGGCAGCAGCTGCCCACACAGCACGAGGATCTAGAAGAAGAGATTGGATTTATACCCCGCTCTTCACTACTCGAAGGAGTCTCGGAGCGGCTTACAATCTCCTTTCCCTTCCCCTCCCCACAGCAGGCAACCTGTGGGGTAGGTGGGGCTGAGAGAGCTCTTTTGAGAACTGCTGTCGACAGAGCAGCTCTGAGAGAACTGCCCTCGACAGAGCAGCTCTGAGAGAACTTGTGACTGACCCAAGGTCACCCAGCAGCTGCACGTGGAGGAGTGGGGAATCAAGCCCGGTTCTCCCCGATTAGAGTCCGCGCTCCTAACCACTACACCAAACTGGCTCTCTACACTGTGTTGCTTAAGACGCGGCAGCCATGTTGTGGCTAGCTCCGCCTCTTGGGGCAGCCATTTTGCGGCAGCCATTTTGTGGCTGCACCCACCATGCCCTGACAGAATTCCAAATGTGCCCGCAGGCTCAAAAAGGTTGGGGACGCTGCTCTAGTCTCATCTACTCAGGGTGACAGTGGTTCTCCAAGGTCTCTTTCACATCACCTCCTACCTGATCCTACTAACTGGAGATGCCGGGGATTGAACCTGCGACCTTCTGCATGCCAAGCAGAGGCTCTTCCACTGAGCCACAGCCCCACTTCATGGCTCTCCAGGGTCTCAGGCGGAGGCCTTTCACATCCCCTCCTACCTGATCCTACTAACTGGAGATGCCGGGGATTGAACCTGGGACCTTCTGCATGCCAAGCAGAGGCTCTTCCACTGAGCCACAGCCCCACTTCATGGCTCTCCAGGGTCTCAGGCGGAGGCCTTTCACATCCCCTCCTACCTGATCCTACTAACTGGAGATGCCGGGGATCGAACCTGCGACCTTCTGCATGCCAAGCAGAGGCTCTTCCACTGAGCCACAGCCCCACTTCATGGCTCTCCAGGGTCTCAGGCAGAGGTCTTTCCCATCCCCTCCTACCTGATCCTACTAACTGGAGATGCCGGGGACTGAACCTGGGACCTTCTGCATGCCGAGCAGACGCTCTGCCACTCAGCCACCGTCCCTCCCCTGAATGAGCACATATGCAGCGGCTGTATACCGACTCAGGCCACTCGTCAGTACTCAGTCTACTCCATCAAGGTCAGTATTGTGCCCTCAGACCGGCAATCGGTCTCCAGGGTCTCAGGTGGGGTTTTCCCCCACATCACCTCCTAACCATTTTTAACCGTAGCTGCCAGGGATCGAACCGGGGACTTGCTGTATGCCAAGCAGATGCTCTGCCACTGAGCCACGGCCCAGGTGTTGAGTGAGCCCCTACGATGGGTCATGAGATCATAAGCCTGGCAGGCATTAATTCCTTCCGCCTCGTCTGATCTCAACGTCTGCCTCCCCGCACGGCGTTATCGAAAGCTGAGCTCTAGGGACAGAGTCCGCAGTGCCCACAGCGGTCCATTCGGAATCTAGTTTTTGCACTATGGCTCCGTTTGGGTTCAGCTCAACATATTTGGGTCCCGTCTATTCAAGAAAGGGGGTAGAATCAAGGACCTGGGGGGGGGAGGTTTCACAAGAGAGTCAAGGGGCGATTCTGCATTGGCTTTTCCTTCCTACCAAACCCACGTTGGAACAGAAATGCCCCCTTCTGCATTGCACGCCGGTTTCGCTTCCTTTGACCATCGGATTTTACGGCGCCCTCTGCCTCTGCGTGCCGCCTTCGCTGTCTTCAGTCCTCAGGTTTTATGGTACCCTTCTGCATAGATTTACGGCCGCTCGGGGGTGACTCCGCGGTATTTGAACGTGGCTTTGAGCGGCACCTTTTCCTCGGTGTTGAGAAAAGGTGGAGCGAATGCCGTATACAGAATCGCCCGTGGAATGCCCCTTCCATGCTGGCGAACCTGTTCCACACCACTCCGTGGATATAGTATCCAGCCATGCAAAGAAGCCAGTGGTTTGGAAAGACGGCTCGGCGTGAGCTAGAGCCACTGGAAGGACAGTGCCGGAACCCATTTTCAAGTGTCAGCGCACGGGCCGCATTAACACAGAGGCGGACACCCCTGAGGATCCAGAAGTATGCCTTTTCCGCTCCACAAAGGTGCCAGCCGGCCGGCTGTCTTTCGTGCATTTCCTGAACAAACACCATAAGCCGTCTTGGCCTGTTTTACTTGTATCGACCTTGGAGTGGGTTCAATTGCATATCGTTGTTTTTTTTTAACTTGCCGGTCACTTAGGACATCTGTGAGGTTTGCTGGTTTGTTAGGCCTCCCGAGAGAGAAGGCAGGGTATCAATATGTTAAATCAATAAAATTAAAGTAAATCAAGGATTAGGGAATATGGGAGATTGTGGCCTCCAGGCGAATCGGGGCCCCAGTATCCCTCCTTGTTGAAACTGGGGAGGATCCTTGTTAGAGATCATGCCGTGGACAGACAGCAAGGGGTCGAAACAAAGGGGACATTGGCATAGAAGAAGAAGAAGAGATTGGATTTATACCCTGCCCTTCACTGCCGGAAGGAGTCTCAGAGCAGCTTATACTTTTCTTTCCCTTCCCCCTCCCCACAACAGACACCCTGTGAGGTAGCTGGGGCTGAGAGAGCTCTTTCGAGGACTGCTCCTGAGAGAACAGCTCTGAGAGAACTTGTGACTGACCCAAGGTCACACCAGCAGCTGCACGTGGAGGAGTGGGGAATCAAACCCGGTTCTCCCAGATTAGAGTCCGCACTCCTAACCACTACACCAAACTTAATTTGACTGGTGGGTTTACTCACAGTCCACGGCTATTTTACTAGGGTTGCTCGTGGCGCTGTTAGCCGGGTTCCGGGCCTGACATGTATACACCCCCACATCGTCTTGGCTGACGTCAGGAATGTTGAAGGTTCGGTTCCGTTCAGAAAGGAGTGACGTAGCCGGGATGGGGTTCCCATCCTTGAACCAGAAGACGTCGACACTGGAGCTTTCGGAGGTATTACAGTTTAAGGTGACGTTTGCGTGCTCTTTCACAAAGAGATCTGCAGGCCACAGAATTGGCGGGAGCAGCTTTTCTGGACATAAAACAGAAACGGGGATCATACTCAGCGGGCCTCAAGACCTCTGAAGGTGGGCACAGCCCCCCCGATTAAGGAGCTCTACGTTTAGACCACCCCTTAAGACATAGGCGTAATCTTCGTGGGGGCGTCGGGGCGTCAGCCCCCGCCGAAATTTTCAGGAAGGTGCTCAGCCTCCCCCAGGAGTCACCCTTGCTCCTAGCAAAGCAATGCCTCTGGCCCAGCCCCAGCCCCCCCCCCCGGGAAATGGGAAAGTCTACACCCCTGCCTTAAGATAGGCGTTCACTACCCTGGTCCATCCACTACCCCTAGAAATGCCTTCAAGAGCTCTTACTTCTGAACGGTCAATCAATCATGAAGTTTCTACTCTAACCGTTCTGGGAATTCCACAGATGCCAAGGTCATGGGTTTCCTGGCCGCCCTGGCTCTGCTTGTGGTACACGGGAACACCACAAAAAGTTTGTGTGCGTGCTGGGGCACATTATATTTTTTCCCCCTAGTCAAGGTGCGCCAGGGTTGTGGGGGTCAGCGAGAGTATTACATTACTGGGTGGGGGGACACACACACCACATTATCTCCTAAGGATTCTCTCTGAAAATGTTTTAGCCGCTGTTGGTAAGGAATTCAGGTTGTGAGGCATGGACAGTCCGGTATTTTCACTGACTGTCCGGGGGGGGGGGGGGGAAAGGGCACGCGCGGTTTTTTCACGGGGTGCCGGGGGGGGGGGGGGAGAACCTGTAAAAGATACCGGACATTTACTCTGCTTGCCCTAGGACAGTGGTGGCGAACCTATGGCACGGGTGCCAGAGGTGGCACTCAGAGCCCTCTCTGTGGGCACGCATGCCATCGCCCCAGCCAGGCCCAGACCATCATTAAAGCGTCAAATTCTCTGCCAAATAATTTTAAGTAAATGAAAGCGTTTGGGATTGCTTTCCTTACTTTGTTTGGATCATCTTAAGTTAATGTATGAGTTGTTTTTTTCTAAAGTAAAACCTCAGTATTCAGGTTAAATGGCCGCGTTGGCACTTTGCGATAAATACGTGGGTTTTGGGTCACAGTTTGGGCACTCGGTCTCTAAAAGGTTCACCATCACTGCCCTAGGAAGAGGGCGCGGAGGCTCGCTGTGGCCAGTATTTTTTTTTGAAAAAATATCTGCTAATCCTATAAGGAATTGATCTGGAGGCATCACAGGTATTTTTTTTTGCATCACAGGTATTTTTTTTTTTTAATTAAAATGAGCAGTTGAGCGAGAGACAGAGAAACTCGCACACAGAGGAAATACTACTCTGCAAGAAAAGAAAATGAAGCGGTATCGACTGCAGATCTTCTGGAGGCTCTGGTGTCTGCTCGCTGGACAAAATATTACCCACTCTGAAACCTCTTATTGCTCAAGTCCTTGGTCTGTGAATGCCGCTTTATTATTCCATGAAGTCAGACGCCAAACCCCCGAGGGGAAGAACGTATTTACCGAGACATGTTATGCAAGGGAAAGGCGATGTGGGGAGCAGGCTGCCTTCTCAAGAGTATGCACGTCCCGTTTTATACCACCAGTGAGAACAGTCAAGGTCAGTGTTCCCTCTAAGCTGAGTTAGTGTGAGCTAGCTCAGTTTTTTAGCCTCTAGCTCACACATTTTTGTCTCGGCTCAGGAAGGAGGGCTCCAGAGCAAACTAACTTATGCAGTAGCCGAAGTGCTCACTCACAACTTTAATGCCAGTAGCTCACAAAGTAGGATTTTTGCTCACAAGACTCCACAGCTTAGAGGGAGCACTGGTCAAGGTCTGGGGTTCGTGTGTGTGTGTGTGTGTGTGTGGCACATTCCAGGACTTTGTAGAAGAGAACTTCCCAGGGGATTCTAGCGCACGGGATAGAGGGGAACCCCAGCCAATGCTCCCTCTAAGCTGTGGAGTCTTGTGAGCAAAAATTCTACTCTGTGAGCTACCGGCATGAAAGATGTGGGTGAGCGATTTGGCTGCTGCATAGATTAGTTTGCTCTGGAGCCCTCCTTCCTGAGCGGAGACAAAAATCTCTAAGCTGGAAGCTAAAAAACGGTGAACTGGCTCACACTAACTCAGCTTAGAGGGAACACGGAACCCAGCCAACGGTTAAGAACTCTTTTAAGCAAAGCCACTCTGCCACCTTGCCTTGCCCAAAGGCAGCTCAAGAAATTCTGAAGCCGGAGGAGTAGGGTTGCCAGCTCCAGGCCAGGAAAACCCTGGAGATTTGGGGGTGAACCCTGGGAAGGGCAGAGTTTGGGGACGGGAGGGAGCTCAAAAAGGGACGCGACGCCACCAAGTCCACCCTCCAATGCTGACGTGTCCTCCAGGGATCTCTGTAGTGAGTTCCTGGAGAACCCCAGTCCCCGCCTGGAGGCTGGCAGCCCTCCGAGGAGGTAGCAAACACAGAGCGATCAATGGAATGTTGGGCAGTTGTGGCAGGACTGGCCTTAATGAAGGTTACTGGGCTTTGCGAACCACAGAGAAGGGAAAGGAAAGGAATGAAGGGAAGAGGAGACGGGAATGGAATGGGCAGGGACAAGGGAAGGGGGGAGAGGACAGGGGCGGGGAGAGGAGGGAAGGGGAAAAGAAGAGAAGGAAAGAGGAGAGGACAAGGGAAGGGAAAGGAAAGGAGGAGGAGAGGACAAGGGAAGGGGAGGGAAAGGAAAGAGGAGAGAAGGGAAGAGGACAAGGGAAGGGAAGGGAAAGGAGGAGGAGAGGACAAAGGAAGAGGAGAGGAGGTAAAGGGAAGAGGAGAGAAGGGGAGAGGACAAGGGAAGGGAAGGGAAAGGAGGAGGAGAGGACAAGGGAAGGGGAGAGGAGGTAAAGGGAAGAGGAGAGAAGGGGAGAGGACAAGGGAAGGGAAGGGAAAGGAGGAGGAGAGGACAAGGGAAGGGGAGAGGAGGTAAAGGGAAGAGGAGAGAAGGGGAGAGGACAAGGGAAGGGAAGGGAAAGGAGGAGAAGAGGACAAGGGAAGGGGAGAGGAGGTAAAGGGAAGAGGAGAGAAGGGGAGAGGACAAGGGAAGGGAAGGGAAAGGAGGAGGAGAGGACAAGGGAAGGGGAGAGGAGGTAAAGGGAAGAGGAGAGAAGGGGAGAGGACAAGGGAAGGGAAGGGAAAGGAGGAGGAGAGGACAAGGGAAGGGGAGAGGAGGTAAAGGGAAGAGGAGAGAAGGGGAGAGGACAAGGGAAGGGAAGGGAAAGGAGGAGGAGAGGACAAGGGAAGGGGAGAGGAGGTAAAGGGAAGAGGAGAGAAGGGGAGAGGACAAGGGAAGGGAAGGGAAAGGAGGAGGAGAGGACAAGGGAAGGGGAGAGGAGGTAAAGGGAAGAGGAGAGAAGGGGAGAGGACAAGGGAAGGGAAGGGAAAGGAGGAGGAGAGGACAAGGGAAGGGGAGAGGAGGTAAAGGGAAGAGGAGAGAAGGGGAGAGGACAAGGGAAGAGAAAGGAGGAGGAGAGGACAAGGGAAATGAAGGGAAAAGGAGAGGGAAGAGAAGAGAAGGGAAGAGGAGAGGAGAGAAGGGGAAGAGAAGAGACAGAAAGAGGAGAGGACAAGGGGAGGGAAAGGAGGAGGGGAGGACAAGGGAAAGGAAGAGGAGAGGGGAGGGGAGGGGAGAGGAGGAAAAGGGAAGAGGAGAGAAGGGGAGAGGACAAGGGAAGAGAAAGGAGGAGGAGAGGACAAGGGAAATGAAGGGAAAAGGAGAGGGAAGAGAAGAGAAGGGAAGAGGAGAGGAGAGAAGGGGAAGAGAAGAGACAGAAAGAGGAGAGGACAAGGGGAGGGAAAGGAGGAGGGGAGGACAAGGGAAAGGAAGAGGAGAGGGGAGGGGAGGGGAGAGGAGGAAAAGGGAAGAGGAGAGAAGGGGAGAGGACAAGGGAAGAGAAAGGAGGAGGAGAGGACAAGGGAAATGAAGGGAAAAGGAGAGGGAAGAGAAGAGAAGGGAAGAGGAGAGGAGAGAAGGGGAAGAGAAGAGACAGAAAGAGGAGAGGACAAGGGGAGGGAAAGGAGGAGGGGAGGACAAGGGAAAGGAAGAGGAGAGGGGAGGGGAGGGGAGAGGAGGAAAAGGGAAGAGGAGAGAAGGGGAGAGGACAAGGGAAGAGAAAGGAGGAGGAGAGGACAAGGGAAATGAAGGGAAAAGGAGAGGGAAGAGAAGAGAAGGGAAGAGGAGAGGAGAGAAGGGGAAGAGAAGAGACAGAAAGAGGAGAGGACAAGGGGAGGGAAAGGAGGAGGGGAGGACAAGGGAAAGGAAGAGGAGAGGGGAGGGGAGGGGAGAGGAGGAAAAGGGAAGAGGAGAGAAGGGGAGAGGACAAGGGAAGAGAAAGGAGGAGGAGAGGACAAGGGAAATGAAGGGAAAAGGAGAGGGAAGAGAAGAGAAGGGAAGAGGAGAGGAGAGAAGGGGAAGAGAAGAGACAGAAAGAGGAGAGGACAAGGGGAGGGAAAGGAGGAGGGGAGGACAAGGGAAAGGAAGAGGAGAGGGGAGGGGAGGGGAGAGGAGGAAAAGGGAAGAGGAGAGAAGGGGAGAGGACAAGGGAAGAGAAAGGAGGAGGAGAGGACAAGGGAAGGGAAGCGAAAGGAGGAGGAGAGGACAAGGGAAGGGAAGCGAAAGGAGGAGGAGAGGACAAGGGAAGGGGAGAGGACAAGGGAAGAGAAAGGAGGAGGAGAGGACAAGGGAAATGAAGGGAAAAGGAGAGGGAAGAGAAGAGAAGGGAAGAGGTGAGAACAAGAGAAGAGGAGAGGACGAGGGAAGGGAAGGGAAGGGAAGACAAGAGGGTGAGGGAGAGGGGAGGATACTGAGAAAATCCCCAGGGTTCCCTCCCTGGGAGTCAGCAAGGCACGTAGGCAGTTTTGAAAGGCAGCTGTACTTGCTGTGGAAGAACTAGCACAAAACCAAAGCTAACACAATGGAACAGGTTTCAAGCGCAATGACACACACACAGAGCCACTGTCCCCATTGGCCAAGACAGCCCTCAGGGTGAGTCAGAAACTACCAGGCTCTCTCTCATTCCGTGGG